CGATTCCCCGGGGGGGGGGGGGGGGGGGCGCAAAAACGCCGATTTTGAATAGAGTCCTTCATCTCGTGGCGGAAGAGTAGGAACGGCGGGAAAAATTATAAATATTGGAAGGATGGTGGCTGGTGGGCCGAGTTTGCCGTGGAGCAGGTTTTTGATGGATCCATGGTACCAGTTAGCATTTTATCTTCGGAGAATATCCCTGAAAAATCCCGCGCCTTCGCATCATTTAAAAATATTTTGACAATATCCTCACAAAAACCAAACGAAAAAAATGTTGTGAGGATATTTTGAAAATGTTATAAAAACGTGCTAGTTTATAATATTCTCAGAACATTCTCAAAATATCCCGTATGCCGTTGCACGGGATACATAATCGCCTATTTGAAGGCGCTACAGATACCCGCTCTCTATCGGCTCTCACCAGTGTATATAACCTCAAACTGCCGGCGCTGGCACATGGAGTCGTCGGTCCCCGTTACAGTGATGTGATTTTTTACTTCACCAAACAGTTTCTTGATTCTTTCACGACTCACGACGAAACACTAGGTAAGTTAAAATCCTTTACATTCATTTTGACTGCAGATTAACTTTCCTGATCGACAGGTAGCTGGATAATATGTTTGGCTGAAACCTATTCCATACAGACACAAAGCTGTACATATTTCAGACTCTTTGAATCCTCGAAATATGACCTGAATGGTAGATTTTCCATTTCACTCTATCAATGTGTGAACTCAGGACAGAACTCTGTCTTTGAGCTAGGCAGGAGCTTCACTTTCCATCTCTAGCATGCGGTTTGATTTGTCATGAAACCTGACCGTTGCCCCGTGAGTGAAAACGATTTTATCAGAATAGGGTAAGGTGTTTTTGAGAAGAAATGATTCCTTCATTTATTTTTTTAATGCTTCCAATCCTTTCTAGGCCCAATGGATGGTAGAAAACGTCGTCGAATGGTTCCTCTCGCAGATGCATCACGGGCAACAAGATATAGGAGAGCTGCGGAAACCCTTGCCTCCTGGGATGGGGAGCCTGACTCAGTGAGAGGAGAAATTAGGAATGAAAATGAGCCAAATTCTGAGGAGATCTCGTCTCCAGGTTCCAGCACAAGCCATGTCTCTTCGGAGGTTCCCCATTTAAGTGTCTCAGGTGTTTCCAATTTTGATAAAAATATTAGCTTTGAAGGACATAGTGATGTCGATAGTAGAGGAGCTGTCTTGAATTCAGCTGCATCTGCAGATGGTGACGATAATAATGATGATTCTAGTGATTCTGAAACTAATAGTCTGCTCGGAAATGATAGTGACAGTGATTTGGATCAAGTATCAGTTTCATCCGATTCGGACGAAGAAGTTTCAGGCAATATTGAAGGTGATAGTCTTACATCTAAATTAAGGTTTTGGTCAGTCAATAGAAAAATTTCCCAGCTTGCGCTCTCTGAGCTATTGAAAATTCTGAAAGGTTGTGACCCTGCAGAATGTAAATCATTGCCACTAGATGCTCGGACTTTGAAACAAACTCCCTTCACTAATAAAGCAGTTCCGGTTAAGACTTTTGACAGCGGAGGTGAATACTATCATGAAGGATTACTAAAAGGAATTCATCACACTCTAGCTTCTCGTACAGGTATATCGTTCGAAGAATTGTGCATTTTAATCGGCATGGATGGTTTGCCTCTTTTCAAGGCCTCGAAAGAGGAGTTCTGGGCAATTCTAGCCAAAATTGTTTCTGTCCCAGGCCTTGCTCGCACTGTTTTTCCTGTTGGAATTTACAGTGGGAAACATAAACCCTTAGAGTTAGATGCTTTCCTCCACGACCTTATCGAGGAAATCAATACACTGACTAAGGATGGTGTTCAGTGGAAAGGAAAAACCTACAAGTTTGTTTTAAAAGGTTTTGCGTGTGATTGTCCAGCCAAATCGTATATACTGTGCATAGCAGGACACACTGGCTACTGGTCATGTACCAAGTGTAAACAGAAAGGAAAGCATTCCTCGTCGTACAACAGAGTTTATTTCCCCGAAGTAAATAGTGCTCCCAGGATACCCATGAGGATTTTGTCCAAAGGAAAGATGAAAACTTTCATAACGAGGAAACACGTACCTCTCCTTCGCGTGTCTAACATAGATTTCCAAAATCATTACCCGTTGGACTATCTTCATCTGTTATGCGTCGGTGTTTGCAAAACTCTTCTTATTCTTCGCACAAAGACAAAAAAAAATCCATTTCGTTTGCCTGCAAATATTATATCTCAAGTTTCAGGTAGACTGCTCTTGTTCGAAAAGCATATTCCTTCTGATTTTGTGCGTAAAACTAGAGCGCTTGAGGATGTAAAACGTTGGAAAGCAACGGAATTTCGCCTTTTCATGTGTTATATTTTTCCTTTTGTTTTTCATGATATTTTCAATGAACCTCGTCAGCGAAATATTCTTCTGTTGTTTGCTGCCTGCAGAATTTTACTGAATCCTGTACTATGTAAGGAGTACAAAGATACCGCGTCTGCTCTTCTCATTAAATTCAATGAAAGTTGTAAAGCAGTCTATGGAGAGGATATCTTAACGCACAATTTTCACAACACCATTCATCTTCCCGATAATCTCAACTCCTTCCAAAATCTTGAAGAATGTAGTACTTTCGACTTCGAGTCATACCTGCAGATCCTTAAAAATTATATACTTAAGGGTGGTAAATATCTGCAGCAAGCTATAAAACGCATTGAAGAAGTTAGATCTTGCCCATCGTCCAACGACAAGAAACAAGATTCTTCTCCAAAGTGTAGCATTGGACATAAAAATGGGCCATTGCCTGATGGATGTTGTGACCCACAATTCCGCCAAGTACAGTTTCCCACTTTCAAACTCTCTTCTTTGGTCAGAGATAGCTGCTGCACAACTATTGATGGCAGTGTTGCTTTAGTCCGAAATGTTTGCTTTTCTCGATCTCACAACTGTCAAGTTTTTGTTGTCCGAAAATTTCTTTCAAAATCTGATGTTTTTCAGTACCCTTGTCGTAGCTCCAATTTTGATGTTTTCTATGTGGAGGAATTGTCCGATCTCTCAATTATTCGTTTCAGTGAGGTAAAATTCAAAAATTGTATGTTGCCTTTCAAAACAGGCTATGTTGTTTTGCCTTTGTTGCACACTTTAGCGTAAATTAGGAATCCTAATCCAAGACTGAAGGTTTATTCTATAATTTTTTTTAGTTTCACTAAGCTCTTCCAAATTTCTCATGTGCAGTTTTGTTGTCAGGCAAAATGTTTCTATGGATCTTGGTGTTTCCTTGGAAATTTTAAAACCACCTTGTGCGACACGCATAAAAATAAAAGAAAAAATAAAAAGGCTGAAGGTTTCCTTTATCACTTTTATTTTTCACAACCCTCATCTTTCTTTTATCTGTTAAACTGACCCATAGCGTCTTTTTGGGGGAGGAGTGTCTTTTTTGTAAGGATTTATAATGAATTGAAGATCTTCAAACATTTACTACTCTCAAGTTTTAGATGATTTAATGATATTTTTTCGGCATTTGAAATGAGGAGCTATCCACTCTTTTCCTTTTACTTCCAGGGAAATGTGGTGTGTTGTTACCTTCATTGATGAGGACGACTCAGTTGGCATCATCTGTCAGTCATGGCTCCAAAATCCCATTGATGATGGGAGAGTGCCCTTGGAACGCCTCAAAAATGTATCGTGCATGTACCCCGTTCGCATTGACAGGAATGCATTCAAAAAATTACTGCTACAGCAAGGAGCTTCAATGTCAGGTTGGGAGCCACAAAGGATAAACATTCTCAAATATAATATCGGTAATGTGCTTTTTAGTTTGATTTTCAGTAATGTATTGAATGTTTCATTTCTACTAAATTAAGTGTCTTTTTGAAACGTAAAATGTAGATACCAGAAAAATCGCATATCAGAAACTTTCCTGTAATTTTAACCAAGGATTCTGATTTTAATTTCTTTTCACTCTCATTAACTCTGCTTTTCACTCAAAATGAAATAAGAATTATTATTAACTAATTGTCTGTAACCCAACCAGTTGTTCCAAGTGTTCAGTTCCAACCAATCTCCAAAAATACTTTTACTCTCATCAAAAACATATCTGCTGATGCAATCATTCATGAAAATAGTGGAGAACAGTACTTAAATGCAATTTAACTCTCTCCAAGGCTTCGAGAACGAAATTTCTAGGAAACCTGTTCACTGTCATTTTCTGAGGAATAACCATCTCTGTTTGCAGTAGTTCTTCATCTCCTCATGAGCATGTTCATCAATCTTGATGATTCCATTGTATATTCTAGGTTCCTTAACAGAAGCTGTCAAAACGCGCAGAAAAGCAGCAGATACATCAAATTTGGACACTACTGATTCAGAAGACCTCGGACGGGCTAAGAGGAAACGTCTACCTAATTAAAAGTATGCGTCTAGTTCCTCCGACGCTAAGCAACCTTCTAAAACAGGCCGCGTAGGGCCAGCCAAAAATTTTGACTCAGTTCCTTTCCCAGTAAGTAGCACAAGTACGCCGCGGAAAATACATTCTCCCCTACCTCAATCAACTCAAAAAGTTAATCCTAAAAACACGGCTACTTCTGCAAAACTGACATCCATTCAAGGTAATAATAGAAGCTTATTTTTCTCAATCTCTTTCAGTATATTTTGGGTACAGAAAGGAGTCAAAGCCTGAAAATCAGTGCTCAGTAATACACCATTACTCTCATAACACCATCCATTAAAGTTATTGCTGCATGATTTGTAAAGTAAGGAACTGAATCGAGAGGTTTGAGTATTCTTGAAATTTCAACCTTACTTTTGCACTTAAAGCCACCAATTGCTACAAAGTAGGAAGGCGTCAGGAATTTTTCATGTTAAATTTTACTTTCCTCCTTGAATGAGAAATCCAAGATTTTTTCTCGTAAGTTGCAAGTTTTAATTGTTAATCTTGAGTATCTTGTATTGAAAAGCATACAAGCAGAATCTGTCTCTGATTCTTACATCCTCTTATGATTCTTTTGCAACAGGCAAAGTTGATGCTCTCCCTAATGTTGCTGATGTGCATAGAAAAATAATTGCTGCTTCCGTTGCAGCTCCAAGACATAATCCTAACAACACGGCTACCTCTGTATAACTGACTTCTACAGGAGGTAATAATAGAGGCGCATTTTTTTCTATCACTTTCAGTATATTTTAAGTACACCAGGGTGTCTACCAGTCCAGAAATAGTACTGATTTTTTTAAGGGTAGTCTGGAAATTTTAAAAAAGCGCAGAAATTCTGCAAGAAGGCTCGGAATTTTTCCACTTTTTTGTCATTTTTGTTGCAATTTGAGTAAGAAATTCGAATTTTTGAAATGTTTCAAATTTTGTCAATTGGAGGTACAGGAACAACTGAATTATTCTGTTGAGGAGGTACTGAATTTCTTAAGAATGTACTGAAAAAATACTGATTTTTGGCTAGCTTGTTTTAGTACACACCCTGGTACAGAAAAAAGTTAAATTTGCCTGAAAACCAGTACTCACATATTCACCTTCACACTCATACAACCATCCATTTAAGTTATTGCCGCTTGATTTGTAAAGTCAGGAACTGAATTAAGAAGTTTGAATATTCTTGAAACTTCAACCTTTCTTTTGTACTTAAAGCCACCCATTGCTACAAAGCATTGTATTAAAGAGCATACAAGCAGAATCTGTCTCTGTTTCTTACACCCTCTTATGATTCTTTTGCAACAGGCAGAGTTGATGTTCTCCCTAATGTTGCTGATGTGCATAGAAGAAGAGTTGCCGCTTCTGTTGCAGCTCCAAGAGATAATCCTAACAACACGGCTACCTCTACAAAACTAACCTCTATAGAAGGTAATATTAGAAGCGCATTTTTCTCTATCTCTTTCAGTATATTTTGGGTACAGAAAAAACTTAAATTTGCCTGAAAACTTGTGTTCACCAATGCACCACTACTCTCATAACACCATCCATTAAGGTTATTGCTGCATGATTTGTAAAGTCAGGAACTGAATCAAGAAATTTGAGTATTTGCATAGGTCATATATTTTCATTTGGTCAACTATAATCAACTAAGAACATTTAGTAAATGTCACCATTGTGATCGATTGGCACAGAAAAATGGTACTGCATTTCCAAATAGAGGAAAAGCTTTGTAACGGTAACAAAACTTTGAAGTCAGTCCTCTACTATGAACAGGGAAGCCAGCATAAAAAAAGTCATATTATTTTGTCAGCTTTCAAAGAAGGACGAAAATTGTATTTTTTGGGTAAGTGTTCTTGCTGAGCATGAAGCTGAAATATCTTCGCTGATGGCGGTAGCTTGCCTCATAATTAAAGCTCTGTGTTTTATTTATCAAAGATAACTAACGAACTTTGGTTGAAATCCAATATTCCTCCATTTGGCAGTGGAATGTTATTACAATTCTTTTTTAGACTGTTCCACCTCTAAACTGTGCGAGTCTACTTTTTTGATTGTTTTTTCGAAAAAGTTGATTTTAATTAGAAATCTTTGTTTACGAAGCATTGCTCTCGTAGTCTTAGTTTGGGATTTTAAGACGGTCCTCTAAACCTCAGCATGAGTTCCGAATGTGCATTGAAATCATTTAAGTCCAGCAATTTCAAGGAGATGTTCAGTCAAGAAAATGATAAGCAGCATCCCGCAAATTTCAACCTTTCTTATGTACTTAAATCTTTCAATTTCTACGAGTCAGGAAAGCGTTAGGAATTTTTAATGTTAAACCTTACTTGTCATCCTGTATGAAAGATACAGGATTTTTTCCCGTAAGTTGCAAGTTTTACGTCACTCTTGAATATCTTGTCTTATATTGAAGAGCATACGTTCAGAATCTATCTCTGTTTATTATATTCTCTTGCGTTTGTTTAACAACAGGCAAAATCGATGCTCTCTCTAATGTAGCTGCTGTGAACAGAAAAATAATTGCTGCCTCCGTCACAGCACTTGAAGGAATATCAAGCGATATGAAAGAGCTGTCAGATCTGCTAAGGAACTTCATAGTGCTAGAGGTGGGGAAAAGGAATGACTTAGTTGTCTCAAAATTGCCTCTCACGACACACGAAAATTTAGTTGCATTCGAAGCAGATCTAGATGGAGCAACTTTTCGCCTTGATGCAGTAAGTCTTCATGAGAAATTCTTCCCTTCCTATTTGATTTAAGGCATAAAAGACCTCCGCACTAAGTACCTTATGGCCAAAGACCAGAGGAGGTGCTCTAATGTGGTGGCTCTAAGAGCCGTTGGAAAGGGCAAGCCGGCCGGCTGCGAGATGTCCGCTGGATGGTGATGTGGTCCGTGTGGTTGACGGGAGCGGAGTGACCAGAGTCCGTGTGGTCACGACGTACATAGCCGTAGTTGAGACTGAGTTGGCCAATCAGGAGCGAGCATGGGCTGCGTCGCTAGAGGTGAGCGGTGATTGGCCGCTACAGTACTTCCCTGCAGTTGAGACAGAGTCTCTGTGGGTGGTTGGAGAAGTGAGTGGTGAAATTGGATGTTGGAGTGAAAACAGGATTGGAAAATGTGTGTAAAGTGGATGAAAAGTTGAGGATTGAGATAGTGATGATGGAATATTTGAGGACTTGATTGAGTGAAGATATGAGTTGAGGGATGGTTGATCGAGTGAGTTGAGGATTGCTTGAGTGAGTTGAGGATTGATTGAGTGGTGAGAAGCAGGAGGTGTGTCAGCGTGCCGAGGAGCGCCATTCGACCCGGGTGACACACGGTTGAAGTTTTGTGACCATCATCTTTCCGGGCAAAGAGGTTGATGCTCGGGACAACAAGTTGGGAACGTGCTTGTTCTGCGGCAACTTGCTGGAGCGTGTTGATTTGCGCGGCGGAGAGAGATGGATACGATGCGGTGATGATGCTGGAAGCTTTCAATGCTCATGCTACGATGATCTAATGTGACTGTTCCAGTGAGAGATTTGAGTTTGAGTGCTTGAGTACAGTTGATTTGAGAGAAGGTTGAGCGTGTTCTTGAGGTGAGGATGCATGAATGAAGTGAACCAGAAGGCTGAACGTGTTCACTCACGTCGGGAGTCACCAATATGGCCAAAGACCAGAGGAGGTGCTCTAATGTGGTGGCTCTAAGAAGAGCCGTTGGAAAGGGCAAGCCGGCCGGCTGCGAGATGTCCGCTGGATGGTGATGTGGTCCGTGTGGTTGACGGGAGCGGAGTGACCAAAGTCCGTGTGGTCACGACGTATATAGCCGTAGTTGAGACTGAGTCGGCCAATCAGGAGCGAGCATGGGCTGCGTCGCTAGAGGTGAGCGGTGATTGGCCGCTACAACCTTCTGCCCGAAGTATCGTAAGTTTTATTTTTTTACAGAGAAATTGTTTGTTGAATCTGTTCGAAAATTTCACTGAATTTTATCGACAGCACAAAGAAAATTTACTGAAATTTTTGGACAGCTTAGGTTAACAATTTCTCTGTAAAAAAATAAAATGTCGGCAGAAATTTTGAAACGTCGCATGGCACTTGCAATACTTTGACCGGAAGGTGATGATATGTTGTCCCAAAAATAATGCAACCCGTGCAGCCTCAAAGAATAACTCTTCTGCTTTACAAAAAGCTTTATTGAGGCTTGTTTGAGTTTAAAGAAAAATTATCTTTTTCTGTTTTAAAAACTATTTAGTGGAGAACACCCTCGCTAAGAACCGTTTTAACTTCTGCAGAGGTTCCGGTTTTGTCCATTAATTTGCTCCTGTGAGAATCAGTGGTATCACTCTCGAGACAACCTGCGTAAATTACATATATGTAACAACTCTATATTTTTCTGCCATCCAATACTCAACAACTAACATTTTATGTACTCTCTAATGTTCAAGTGTGAGCTGTGATTTTTCATGTTTATGTTGCAGGTGAACTGGTTGTCCTTAAAGATCAAGCAGACTTTAAGTGAATCAGTTCTTAACATACTTAAAGGAATGTTTACCGATGAACTTGTTTTTCGATATTCAATGCAGGGCTTCAAAAGGAAGACACGGTTGGATTTATATAAAAACATCTTGGATGTAATTAAACGTAAGTTCTCATTCAAAACCCTACGCAATTAATTGAATCATAGAGCCAGTTTTGCAGTAAATCCACTGTTATTGAGCCTTCCTCTGACATCTAGCCAGAAGGGTAGGGCTAGGCCCCACCGTTGGGTGATACAGTGAACTCCTATAAAATTGACTTTGTAAAGTGGGCTCTGAGAATTTTTTTTTGGAGATAATTCAAACAATTCAGCACATTGAGAGTATTTTATTTGATGCCATTTTTGCACTTATCGTGGGAAGCAAAGTAACTTCTTGCCTTGATCGAAATGTTTGAAACTCTCACTTTTTTTATGTAACATAACAGGGGAATAATTGATTGCCTAAAGTAATATTCATTCTTCTTAATTTATTGTTCACTCAAGAGAATAATACTCAAGGGATACCAATGGATGTGTGTAAAACGGTTAAAGCAACTTTTTGGTAAAGATTGTAGAAGTACCTCAGCCCACAATACAATTAATTGGATTCCACTTTTTGGGTAGTGCTAAGAAAAAGGGAAATCTGTTCAGCAACTGTTCTTTTTTGTCTGTTCTTAGATTTCAAATGTAAATTGTTTCTGTTTCAGTTGCTGTACGCTCAAAATATCCCACTGTCACTGATGATGACATCTTCAAACCACTTAAGAGTTGGTTTGCACATGCGAAACAACGGCTTAAAGACTCTGGCCGATGGTGAGTGAAAATATTTCTTGGTATCTATCTTTCCATCTTGATACCTATGGTTTCTTTTGAATTGTGACTAAACTTGTATTTCAAACTGTCGAATCAGAATATTATTATCTTATTATAGTCATGTAAAAAGTCAGTTCATGCCCCTCAAGGGGTACGTAAGGCTTCAGTGGGCTTTTTCCACCATTTTTCTGCAAATATATTGAGAGAAAACTTAGTCGTTGTAGAGTAAATAATGTAGGGATCTAAAGGCCTAGGGCATAAGAAAATGTTGAATCTCGTTTCCTCAATTCTTTATCTTTTTACTTCAGGGACCCTCAGCTCGAAAGTGAACTGTATCACTGAAAAAAAAGGGTTTGGATTTTTGCCGGAATATCGGTGTAAAACACCAACTCCGGATAGCTGATATGGCCCCAGCTAGTTATTTTGGATAGTAGGCAAACCCTATTTTGGGTTGTACGCTGACTCGAGTTTAGGTAATATCTAAACTGGTTCGGTATAAATCTAAACCTGGTTTGGATCGCTAAATTGAAGCATCGGCAGCAAATTTTGGGGTTTGTAGCCAGGGGATTGTTGAAAAGAGCCCCCCAAAATGGATTATTTACCGTAATAATGACTAAAACCGCGAAAAATAAGGTCCACGAGACATGTAGAGGCATATGACTCGATATTTACGTACAGAATTTTTTTTGCCTACATCGGGATTTGAACCTAGAACCTACCTAACCGAAGACGAGGATCCTACCTACTGAGCCATGCCGAGAACTTGAATAGCAGGGACGAAAAACCCGCATTTAGCTTCCAATTGATAGGACAACGAGGATATCTTGACCAATTTACATAGCTTTTGTTCGATTTTTATTTTAATGCATTATTTTACTTCATTTTATTTTTTCACTTCATTATATTATTTTACGTCATTTGTTTTACTTCATTTTGTTTTTTAGTTGATTTTCTTGACTTCAGGTATTTTATATATTTACTTTCTTTTATTTATTGACTTTATTTAATTAATTTACTTTATTTTATTTATTTACTTAATATTATTAATTTACTTTATTTTATTAATTTACTTTAGGTATTTTATTTTTTACTTTATTGTATTTTTTTAGGTAGGTGCTTCGTTTTCTTTGTTTTTATTCAACAGGGATGAAAGTAATTGTTCCTCAAATTTTGTTATAATCATTCCTTACTCTCTCTAAAATAGGAAAAAATGATGAAGGTCTTAAATAAAAAAGATAAGCTACAAGGGAGGGAAAGTGGATAGAATGCCTAGTCAAATTCTGAACACACATTATTCCCTTATTATGCAGTTCCAATAGGTCATTCCAGAAAAATCTCTTGCTCAGTTTCAAGGTATTTTTTGGCAAATGATAACAATCCTGGCACGGAATAAGAACCCAGTGTATGTAGACAGCATAAAAATAATATCACTGAAATTATTGATTTTCGTTATGAATTCATTTAACAGGTACTTGTAAATTTAAATTGAAAGTAGGACAAGCATCCATTAATTTTTTTATCATCAATCGATCATATACACTACCCATCACAAATCTGATACCTAAACTCAATCATTAAAATACATTAAATCAGATGATAACAGGGCTCTGGCTTTTCATCACCACATAATTCTCTGGAAATTAAAATTTTGGACATGCTAATGATGTAGGGTTAAATGGATCGGTTCTGCTCCAGACTTAAATTCTTCTACTCTTGACTCCTGAAGTCCTGAATAATGGGCACAGAAAAACACAGCTTATAGGAAGACAAACCTGGAGTCATAACCGGTTCCATGAAAATGAAACATATTATTAATATTGCAACTGAAAATGGGGCTAGATATGTAAAGTTGCTAGTAGGTATATATGTACTCAAGTACTTACGAACTTCTCCTCCGTGCTAATCATTGTTGTTCAGTTATCTGCGAAGTAAGTGCTGCAGGTTGGAAGTGTGGGTACATTGAAGGATATTCTGCTAACTGTCAAATTATAGTTCCGCAATTTAATTGCAGTAAAGAGCTAGAAACTATAATGTTGAACTAAGCAGGTTTGATGGATCGATATTCTAGAGAAGATGGAGAAATGAGTTGAAATAAAATGATTTCAGGGCAGCTTTCGAAAGAATTCCTCCAGAACTAATCTCTGGTTGAGTCATACGAAGTGGTAAAACTTCGAACCTCTTTGCCTGAATTTGATTTTGATGCGACTTGGTACCTTCCTACAAAATACAGTTCATTTCATGGATATATTGGATCCGCAGTGACTGTTATGAAAAACCAAGGCGGATAAAGAATGAAAATATATTTTGAGGTTAGCTTTAATGAAAAATAAACAATTGTGTTCTGGCGCTGAGCGGAGATGTGAATTGATTTCTCAGTTGTTATACGAAGTTAAAAATATTACAGATGAGCTACCTGAGAAAAAATGGTCACCTTAAAATCTATGCGCCGCTGAAAGAAACCAAAATATTGAGCTTTAATACATACATGAGGTCCTGATTCTAATTAGGAGAGACTCATAGATAGGTACACACTGTTACTATCCCATGTATTAAAACAATAGCACCGATATCGAGCGATCAAATGATGATTTGGATAATGCTGATGTTTCTTGATTTAACAAACTGATGATAAGAATCACTGGCAGACTAAAGTCCTCCGGTTTCGAACGCGAATTCTTGTCACGCAGCACGCCGCTCGAACGAACAGATTAGTTAAACATCTACACTCTTGGACGAAGGAATACTGCTTTATTACTTGAAAGATTAATAGAAATGTGATATTCGGATGTGTTTAGTTTAATGATTAAAGAATTAGTAACATAATACCTTGACTCACGGTGTTATCAGTTCAGTTTCTGTTGACAGACATCAACAGCAACAGCACTGACTGACTGAGAGTTAAGTTCTACTGCCTTCAGAGAGCGTCACTGACGATTCCGAGCATGAGCGGTGAATTTGAAATAGCAAAGCACTTGAGATAATCCATTTTTATCACTTTTAATTCGTACACTAACTCGATACGACCGACTCGCGACGCCATTAGCATTTCAACTGAGACTGAAAAAGTAACGGACTTTTTTAAACGCACGTGATTCGTCACTGCACCTACCTAAACAGTTTGTGACGGTATATGGCTAGTTTGGATTATAGCCGAACTAGTTTAGATACTACCTAGAAGTGGTTTTGATACAACATAAACTTTTGGGTTTGTGATGAATCTAAAATGAGGTTTAGATAGTATATAAACTTGGTTATGCTAAGAGCTTAAAGATTTTGTTACCTACTACAAACTGTTTGGATATTAGCCTAATCGCCGCTGAACTGACCAGTTCGGCTAAAATCTGACCCTTTTTTTTTTCAGTGTAAGTGGCCCTCAAGACGACACTGAAGAGGACTGTGACACTCAAGACAACATTGAAAATGTTCAAGACAACATTGAAAATGTTCAAGACAACATTGAAAATGTTCAAGACAACATTGAAAATGTTCAAGACAACATTGAAAATCTTCAAGACTACTTTGTAACCCCCGTTATGGACAACACTGAACGCAATGATGGCAACAACGTCAATCCCAACCGCAATAATTTGCAAAATAGTCAAGATCTCCTCAGCTATGATCTCGATTACTCCCTGATCAATGATCTCGATGATGATAGTGAAACGTATTTTCCAGGTTTTGCTAACTAAGTGTAGCTTCTTAATTCTCAGGTAATAAGTTAAGAATTTTGATTTTGGATATCCTTTATATAAGAAACTACATTTTTTCTCATTTAATTACTGCCGCGCCGCTTAGTAGTGGTCAGGTTCGGTAAAGCAAGTCTGATTTTCTTAAGTAGCTGTTCTCATAAAGCGCCTATGAAAGGAAAAGGGTGAATTTATTTAAAAATTTACTCATTTTTATTCTTTGTGAAATTTAAGTCAATTGTAGCTTGTTTCTGATTACCTCGTTCGTTACAAAGCATTCACAAATGATTTGTACTTATATCGAATCTCGAAATTATGAGCTAAAAATTGCTGCGCCTTAGAATTGCCAAAGCATCAAACTGTTATTACAGTAAGCGGTGCCGTTTGTATTTTTTGTCAATGTAACAGACTTATTTTTTCTCCTCTTTTTTATTTTTTTGGTTATCTTTGTTTATGTTTTTTATATTTTTCTACGGCTCTTTAGTCAAATTCTAAAACTGTGCTATTCTATTATTTAGTCGTATTGCGTTAACTTTTATAGTTGTTTACTAAGTAATTCGTGGGGCTGAATTGGGAATAAATGAAAAATGTTCATTAAGACAGGATTTTCCCTATAAGTTGACATCTCAACGGAAAACCGGATTCTTGGAATGGCCGAAGAGAGGGAAGCTTTTCAATACATGTAAATAGAGTTATACTTAGTCAATTTGGCAGCTGATCTCAGGAACAACCCTTGCTTTAACACATCACGCACCATTTCTGCTAAACATAAATTTTTTTTTGGAAAGCTCTTTTAAAGGAATTCTTGATTTCTGGAAACTTCTGAAATGATGGAATTTCCTGGTCATATTCTCTGAATTCACCACTAAAGAATACCTCTAAAAAAACTTCGCAGAAAATGACAGGATCAAACAATTTTAAAGGTTGCAAACTAATCATTCCGTCCATTTTCAAATCCATGATTTTCAAAACTAAAGGTAAGGCAGTCCATTGCATCTGTTAAGTTTTATTTCATATTGAAACCATCAAAATGTTTTCTTACAGCCTCTCGTAAATGTTTTTCCGCTATTTTGTTCTCATTTTCCTTTTCGGTTTGAATTTATTCATAGCTGGTCGTCCAAAATTTCCAAAGCCCCCGTGCAACTCTCACGTTTGATGATATTATATAAGCTATTAGCATCTTGTAGACAACTGCTATCTCTCGTTTTTTGACTTAAACAGTAATTTTTTAGGCAAGCAATCTTTCGTAAATTGAACCAAATGTTTACCTGTTAGTTTAAAAGTTGTTTACCAAATGTTAATACATTTTGTTTGTAAGGAACAAAATTTATTTATTTTTAAGAGTTCAAAGTTTTTTAGGACTGTTTGATTAGCTATTAGTATTTACTTATTTATTTTGTTCAACAACCTATTAGTATTTATTGTTGTTATTTTAATCTGTAATCCAAATACAGGAACTGTCCCTCTGTACGCGAAGTCAGTCTGTAATCCCCGAGTGAGTGAGTCTCTCTCTCATACTCTATCTATACTCTTTGTAGCAATGTTGTGCTAAGTTCTGCTGTGGTTCTGCTCCAATAACATGTTTAAACTTATTCGTCTCTGGACTAGTTATTTAGTAACTAAACAACAGGTTATGCTGCCCAGTCACGTTTAATTTTCAAGAATTGCATTTTCCGCGTTTTTCCGGAGGTTATTTGTGCGTTAACGTGATCGCGTGTGCGCGGCTCTAGTTTCACAAGATGGATGCCACCAAAACAACGCCAATCTCAATTGAAAAACTCAGCGGAAGAGAGAATTTCTCGAATTGGAAATTTACCATGAAAATGTTGCTGATTCATGAAGACTTATGGGAAGCAGTAACTGGCTACTCAGAAGATGACAAGACATCTGAAAGCAAACGGGCCAAGAATGATGCGAAAGCTCTGGCCAAGATTTGTCTCACGGTAAAACCTTGTGTATTCTCGCATGTCAGAAAGTGTGAAACAGCTAAGGAAGCATGGGATGCTTTAATTAAAGCATATGAAGATACAGGTCTGTCTCGCAGATTGTCCTTACTTAGAAAGTTGTTTTCCATCAAAAGGGAACACCATAACTCTATGGAAGAATATGTAGATGAAATTCTGTCAACCACTCAAAAATTAGCTGATATCAATCAACCCATTGATGATGAATTTGTTGGAGTGATTATGTTGAGTGGATTACCTGCAGAATATGACCCTCTAGTCATGGCAATTGAAAATTCATCTGCGAAGATTTCAAGTGATTTCATTAAAACGAAGCTCATCAATGAAATCGACCGACACACCGCTAGCGAAGAATCTGCCCTATACTCAGGCGGTAAAAGGCTTTCTAAAGCCACAGGAAAACCAGTTAAGTGTTACAACTGTAATCAGCCTGGACATTTCAAGTCTCAGTGTCGGAACAAGCCAAAGAAGAAGAATAACTCTTGGGCCAACGAGAAGAAGAGTACTCCAGACCCGACTGACCAGAAGCAGAAGACAGCGAAGGATGACTCATCACTTTTAACCAGTCTGTGTGTCCAGTACAGTAGCTCTGATTGGTATGTTGACTCAGGTGCTTCAGCGCACATGACAAATACTAAGTCATGGTTGAGTGATTACTGTGATTCCAATTCCAGTATGGAAGTCACCGCAGCAAATGGTGAAAAGATGCATACTGCTGGTTGTGGAAATGTGCAAGTTTCCTTTGAAGACAGCCCTTTAACAGCGATCTCAAATGTAACATATGTTCCGAATCTTTCTACGAATCTACTCTCCGTTAGTGCCGTGGTAAATAAAGGTTACCCAGTTATTTTCCGTGCTCGCGGCTGTGAAATTTTTCGGGAAGGTGCGCTCTATTCAGGAAAACCAGTTGCATCCGCAGCTTGCACCAACGGCCTGTATCGCTTAAACTTAGTGCGCGACAGTGCAGCGATGCAATCAGTGACGGAGGTTCTTGAGCCTCAAGCTCTCAATGCCCCTACTTCGAGTGTATCACCTGATATCTGGCACCGACGTCTCGGCCATTTACCCAGGTATGGAATGGACCTCTTGAACAAAGGTATGGCTACCGGCATAAGTTTCGACAAGCATGACCTACAGAATTCCAGCAAGTGTATTCCTTGTGTTATGGGCAAGCATGCCCGCAAACCGTTCAAAAAAATATGCTGCAATCGTGCGAAAGATCTGTTGGGCATCGTTCACACCGACCTTTGTGGGCCCATGAGTGTGCAGTCTTTCAGTGGCAAGAACTATATCCTCACGTTCACTGATGATTTCTCTAGAAAGGTTTTTATCTGTTTTCTCCGAACGAAGGATGAGGTTTATGACCATTTTATAAACTTCAAAGCCTTTGTCGAAAACCAAACAGATAAGAAAATAAAAATTCTCAGATCCGATAACGGCGGGGAATACATCAGCAACGCCATGGCCAAGTTTTTGCAGCAGAATGGTATCTTGCATCAAAAATCTGTCCCCAGATCACCGCAACAAAATGGTGTTGCCGAGAGGGTGAATCGTTGGATCATGGAGAAGACTCGCTGCATGCTAGAAGATGCCAAACTTCCAAAAGACTTTTGGGCGGAAGCAGCCAACACAGCTGTCTACTTGAAAAATCGTTCCCCCCACAGGGCTGTTGTCGGTAAGACACCTGAAGAAGTTTGGAGTGGAAAGAAAGTGGATCTATCTCATCTAAGAATTTTTGGCTGTGAAGCATATGCGCATGTATCAGATGAATTGAGGAAGAAGCTGGATGCAAAGAGTAAGAAGCACATTTTTGTCGGTTATTCAGAAGAATCGAAAGGATATCGTCTCATTGACCCAGAGAATCCAAAGAAGATAGTGCGGTCACGCGATGTAGTGTTCATTGAAAACGGACAGAGTGCGAAACTGAAATCAAAAATTGCTGAATCTGAAATTAAAAGTTCCAAAGATTTAGTGCGAATTTGTCTGGACAGCAACACGGGCTTGAATGATGACAACACCGATGAAGAACGTCGCTTCCCCATTAGGCAAAGGAAGAAAAAGGAGTTTCCAGATTACGTGATGTATCTCAGTGATGAAGTCGAATCTGTTCCAGTGACCTACAGCCAAGCAGTTAAAAGCAACGACAGCGCACAGTGGCAACTAGCGATGGAGAGAGAAATGCAGGCTCTGCACCACAACAACACATGGAGACTCGTCGAAAGACCAAAAGATGTCAATGTTATTAAATGTAAGTGGGTGTATAAAATTAAACATCCAGTTAATGGTGATCCTGAGTTCAAGGCTAGGTTAGTCGCTAAAGGGTTCACACAAGAGTTTGGCGTTGACTATGATGAGACATATTCTCCAGTCATAAGTAAATCTTCTCTCAGATTGCTCTTTAGTTTGTCTGCAAAAGTGGGTTTAAAGATTGACCATGTTGATGTTAACAATACCTTTTTAAACGGAGACTTATCCGAAACTATCTACATGGAACAGAAGGCTTTGTAGATAAAAATGACAAAGACAAAGTTTGCCTACTCTCAAAAGCTTTGTATGGTTTAAAGCAAGCGTCACGTGTCTGGTACGGAATGTTCGACTCAGTTATGTTAAAGTTAGGTTTTATAAAGTCTAAATATGAACCTTGTGTGTACCTCAATATCTCAAAAGATCAGTATACTATTATAGCCGTTCATGTCGATGACTCCCTGATTTTTTCTAATGATGAAATCACGGTAAAAAACCTCAAAAAAGAGATGCAAAACAATTTTGACATAAAAGATTTAGGCACTGCAAGAGCAGTTTTAGGTCTAAATGTTGATCAATCAGCCAACATGATAAAAGTAAATCAAATTGCTTTTATTGAAGATCTGTTGACCCGTTTTAATATGACAAATTGTAACCCTGCTAGTACCCCTATGATTGCCAATCTTCAGTTTGAAGCAAGTGAGGAGACAGTCTGTCCCCCTGATGTCCCTTATCAATCATTAATTGGATCTTTAATGTATTTGGCAGTCAACAGTCGCCCTGATATTGCTTATGCGACAGCTTACCTCAGTCAATTTAACACTAAGTTTACAACTGAGCATTGGCAAGCAGCCAAACGAGTGCTACGGTACCTTAAAGGCACTAAAAACTTAAGTTTATGTTATGAAAAAGACGACAGGGACCTCATAGGTTTTGCTGACGCCGATTGGGCTCAGAATAAAATTGATCGCAAATCATATTCTGGCTATGTATTTTGTCTGTCAAGTGGTCCGATCTCCTGGATGTCGAAGAAGCAATCTTGTGTTGCTCAAAGCTCAACCGAGTCTGAATATATTGCCCTAAGCGAAGCGAGCAAGGAAGCTGTATTTTTGAGAGGTCTACTAAATGAAATCCTAAATGTTGATAGACCAACGACCCTTTTGTTTAGTGACAGTCAAGGCGCTGATAATTTATCCAAAAATCCAGTTCTCCATAATGGTTCAAAGCACATTGATGTTCGTTTCCATTATATTAGAGAATGCGTTGAAAAGGGTACTATTGTCGTAAAGTATTTGTCGACGGACAAAATGCCAGCAGATGCTTTGACTAAGCCATTACCTGGCGAAAAACTTAGATTTTGTAGAAATGCTATCAACCTGATTTAAAAAACAAGTTTTGTATTTTTCCTCTTTCCCGTAACCACACAATGTATTTCTATTTAGTATTTAGATTAAGGGAGCGTGTTGTTATTTTAATCTGTAATCCAAATACAGGAATTGTCCCTCTGTACGCGAAGTCAGTCTGTACTCCCCGAGTGAGTGAGTCTCTCTCTCATACTCTATCTATACTCTTTGTAGCAATGTAGTGCTAAGTTCTGCTGTGGTTCTGCTCCAATAAAATGTTGAACTTATTCGTCTCGACTAGTTATTTAGTAACTCAACAACATTTATTTTTTTATTTCTTTCCTCTGTTTAATACTACATGTTGACTTCTGAAAATGAATAAAACATCTTTTGTTCCTGAAATTTTGCTTTCAACATATGTTCTTCCAACTGTACTTTTTATTTCCATGGAGATAAGTACCAATGCGTATCGTGTGTAATAAAGGATTCGTACAAATTTTCTCCTTTAACAGCTAAAACCATGTTCTTTTCAAGAAAACTCGGTTGACAGCAGTTCAGTCTGCCATTACGCTTGTAATGTTCTTTTAAATGTCTGTGAAAAAGTTTTATGGCTAATTTTTCATGAATAAAACGAGTAAGAAGGTGTGAAAAATTGCATTGCAATGCAATGCAACATGCAAGAATCGCAACATTTTGAGGGGAAAAAAAGTTAATTGTTCAGTGAAACTTGAAACATCTCAATGCAATCGAACGGAAACACCTGTTACTTATCCATCCCATAGTTTCTGACCACACTTATGTTTTTTCTGCTTTCCTCAAGGACAACAAGAAAACATAAAACTTCTCCTTCCAGTAGTGAATGAAATGAGCCCTTAATTAACTGACTTGAGGATGTTGAAAGAAAATGTATTATGAACCATCCAACGTTTCCAGCTTGTGCAAAACTTTTTTCTACTTTTCCTGACGACAGCACTTAAAACATAAACGTATGAACAAAAATCAGCTGATTTTTTAATTATTCATGAGTAGGTAGGTGAAAAAACTAAAATCAATTGATCTGTTTAAGTGTTTAAATCAGAACAAATCAATTGTTTTCAGTTTTTTCCTAATGTTGTAAGTACTGTCCTCAAGAAAAGTAGAAAAAGATTGCCTGAGCTGGAGAGGTTGGATGGTCCATAGCAAATTTTCGTTCAACGTCCTCAAGGGAGTTAATTCAGGGCTCATTTCATCCACTGCTGGAAAGGGAGGGAGGACTGATAAAAATTTTATAACGATGTCCACACAATATTCTGGGAATATTCTGCGGATTGTACAAATATCCTGAGGTCATCCTGGCAATATTCTGTGGACTATTCAAGTATTTTTTTCAAATATCCCTAGAATGTTCACACAATATTTGGGGGATTTTCAAATGTCCCCAGAATATTCTGGGGATTTCGTTTTGTCTCGCGAAAATGTTCTGAGAATGTTGTGAGAATATTCCGGAATATTCTCACAACATTGTCAGAACGTTTTGGATTTGCCTCGAAATATTATCAGAACGTTCACAGAATATTAGGCTGCTAACTGGGGTAGGGAATATCTCTGAAAGACGCAATCCTCCTCATGAAACTGTAGACTGAGATAGATTGATAACAAAAGCCAACATAAACATAAACTTCCCGAATCAATCGTTCATCGCACGCGCTTTCAAACATTTCGAATATTACCGCGAAAATTTAATTTGACGGTCTATTTAATAATCATTTGCACACTTTTTCATTTCAATTCTTACCTTATTTTCTCGATTCCTGACCCATTTATTTGATCTGTTGTGTAAAAAACTGCCTTCCAATTGGGAACCATTTTTTGTAGCAGATCGCGAAATCGATCAGAAATCGAGAGGCCTCAAATCTATCGGAAAAGCCCAATTCACACAATCAAACTTTTCTTTTAACTATTGAATGCAACTTGTCGTAAGAAACTGGATAGTGTGATACCGACAAGAGAAAATGACAATTTGATGAAAAATTGAACGGAAACTTGAATGTGACGTCACATTCAACCTTTCGTTCGAGAGTAAGTGAATCAAATTTTTTGGTGTTCGACTTTCCATCCGACTTTTCGTTCAATTATGTCGGATGAAAAGTTTTACAGTGTGAATTGGGCTAAAGTCTTCAAATCGATGAGAAACTCGATCGTGCGTAATCGCGCTTGCAGGCATATTTTTGTAAATAAATTCTTTCGGAAGACGATTTACCCACAGGCAGTGTGCGTTCTCCTTTTAGATTAGGTATGAAAATAGAGATTAAAGAATGATCACTGATTAATACGTATTAGTAAAGGAATGAAGAAAAGCGGAGGTAGGATAAATGAAACAAATATAAAACCATTATTAAAACTTACCTAATTGCTGCGATGACATCATGATATGGGTTAAAGCAACAAAAAGACACTTCTCTTCGCACTTTGGTTTTTTCAAGTATGGATTAACTCGATTTTTCTTTGAAAGATGGGACTTTTTTCTTGGAAATTCACAGTCAGAGGATCTTTGCGGCATGCTCAGCTACATGAGAATGCAAAATTTTCACCAAAATCCAAAGCGAAACCCACCGGTGGTGAAAAGAATAACGATCGATGCCAATATTAATCACCGAGAATGAAAAACGCCGTATAGCTTGGATAAGATGTCACGTATTTTTGCAAGTTCTGGCAATACCGCGCGCCGCGCCGATCATGAGATGGTGATAACATGGTTATCGGATCACGCTTCGATTTACTCGGACGACAGTTCAGCGCAAATTTCTAGTCTTATCTTTTTTCGTATACAAAAGCCTAGTCAACTGGCCATAAGGGCAATCTGCCATTGGCACAAACGCCCCCCCCCCCTGATGCATCGAAGACACGCCCCTCTGCCAGATATAGAAAAATGAAAGAAAAAGATGAGAGAAAAAATTATGACCGAAATAAAATGCGAAAAATTCATAAATTAACAGGAAAAGAGAAAGTAAGAGTAAAGAAGGGTCCTCGTACGCACGATAGTGGTGAATGGAGGTCCTGGAACTATAAACCGGAAATAAGTCCCCAGAGGCGCCTAGGCCTACTACAATGCTAGAAAATTGATGTTTTGGTTTTCTTTGTATTTGCTGATTGCAGATTTTGTATCCGTAGCTCAATATTTTGATAAGGAGAATGTGAAACATTTGGACATACTCGTTTAATCAAGCTGTAATGATGACAATTATTTCACTCACTGATAGGCTCGGACTGGCGTGAAAAAAGTTAGGCCGCGGCGACGCATCGTGAGGACCCCCACGGGGGTGGGGGGTGGGGGGAATCCCCCCAGAAAAGAGAGTGGGGCGGTAGCCCCCCGGAAAATGTTTGGATCTTTTATATCCCGAGACTGCAATTTTATCCTCCCGGGCGCTTGTGAAATTGTTCACTTTTAGAGGTTTGGACTGATACAATATTCGACCTAAAACGTAATTTTGAGAGCACGTAAGTTTTATTTTACGTCAAAAAATTTCACTAAAATAACTCGTAACAGTGGAGGCGCCCGACTCGAGGGCCCCAGTCATCGAAAACTAATTAATCCTTAGAATACAGAGTCTTAAAATTAATAAAAACAATTCTGGGGCCCTCTTCCTCGGGGGCCCCGAGGACGAGGGCCCCGGCCGCGATCGCGGCCTAGCGGCTCTGGCCAGTCCGAGCATGCTCACTGGCAGACATTCGATTAGAAAATAAAGCACAAAATTACACTATCACGCTTTACGCCTTTAGCTTTCGTTATTACGCGAAAAATTGGTCACTGTCCGTCGTAGAATTAGCTTTAAGGCATTGAAAGTGTTCTAGTTTATAGTTTTCGAAATGGGGCGTGATGAGCGTCATAAAGGGAGGAAATCAAAATAGCTCTCGAACTTTTGTCAAGTGTCAAAATACCTAAACATAAAATCTCTAAGATCGGGTAAGAATAATTTTCTTTGAAATTTTCACCTAGCCAATCAGTTGTTGACATCCTTAAAATGAGACCTTTCCCACGTCCTCCTTATTCTCAGGATCTCACCCCACGTGATTTATCACTTATTACCTGAACTAGAGAAGAGTTTTGGCGAAAAAAGTTCCGTGGACGACGATGAGGTGTCAGAAGCTGTACAAAAGTGGTTGCAACAACGGAATCGCCAGTTTTACGTTGATGGAATAAAAAAGCTCTTGTCATGGTATGTAAAATGTGTCCAACGAGATGGGAATTACGTGGAAAAGTAAAGCCAGATCTTCACAAACATAGAAATTTTAAATTTTAAACAAAAAATTCCATTTTGACAATTTGCAGGATGCAGCCGCATGCTACCGACCTGTGACGTGGGTCCATTTCCACAGCCCCCCCCCCCCACATTCGAATCTTAAATAAAAAAATATATCATAATTTTGTGCTATTTTGTGCCGCAAATTAAAAATTTTGTGCTGCAAAATTGAGGGGGGAAACGCTCCTCAAAATTGGGGGGCTGTAGAAACGGTAGCCCCCCCCCCACTTTCGAATTTTCAAAAAAAAAAAGAATGTCATAATTTTGTGCTAATTTTGTGCTATTTTGTGCCGCAAGAAAAAAATTTTGTGCCGCAAAATTAAGGGGGGTAGCAGCATTCCAAATTGGGGGGGGGCTGTAGAAATGTTTGCCCCCTGTTTTGATTTCTCGGAAAAGGAGTATGCCATAATTTAGTGCTAATTTTGTGCTACTTTGTGCCGCAGCGAAACATTCAATTTTTTCAAATTTAAGGGGGGTGTAGGGAAAAGGGGGAATGGGAGGGAAATAAGGACAAATCTATCGGGATCAGAAGAGCGTGTATGAACGTGAGAGAGGATCAGAAAGACCAGTCGTGGTGCGTAACCATAGATACATACAAGAGATATATACATGACAGTCAAAATCGTACAGGGTGCCACCCCCGGGCGGGCTGTCTAAGCCGGGTCTAGGACAGGGCAAATTTCAGAGATGCTACGAATCAAAGTGCCAGAGCTGGTCTTGATTGATGCTACTCTAGGTATGTTGTCTTTACCTGGGTGAAGCTTTATAATTCTGCCCATTCTCCAAAGCAGAGGAGGCAAGAACTTATCTTTTAATATAACTAATGTGTTGACCCTAATATTGGTTTGTTTTACCCATTTACATCTTTGTTGCTGCTGATGCAAGTATTCCATTGACCATCGTTTCCAAAATTTTTCATATACTTTTTTAATTAACTTCCAATTTGTGACCGACGAAGTTGGATATTCTGCTTTAGTATTTAATATATCGGTCATTGCAGAACCAATCAAGAAGTGGCCAGGAGTTAGTGGAGAGAGGTCATTAGGATCGTTTGACATTGGCCAAAGAGGTCTAGAATTCAGGATTGCTTCGATTTTGTTAAGGATTGTTGAGAATTCTTCGAAATGAAGTACGTTTGTTGTTACAGTTTTGGAAAAATGATGTTTAAAACTTTTGACACAACTCTCCCATAAACCACCAAACTTAGGAGAGTAACTAGGGATGAACTTCCATTCAACCTGTTTCTCTTGCAAGTAATTTAAAATTTCAGCTGGAAGGGTAATTTCAAACAACAAGGGTTGCCTAAGATTATTTCTAGCACCAATAAACGTTTTTGCTTGGTCCGAATATATTGTTAGAGGAATTCCGCGTCTAGATACAAATCTTTGAAGTGCTAATAGGAATGAGTAAGTAGTTAGATTAAATGTTATTTCCAAATGAACAGCTTTTGTAGCGAAGCATATAAATACCTACAACAATATACAATAAATTAACAGCTTTTTTGTTAGGTTGCAAGCGCACTTTGAATGGTCCACAATGGTCCAAGCCTATAACTTTAAATGGTCTCTCAGGTGTGACTCTTTCTTGTGGTAAGTTTCCCATCAACTGTGTTATGTGGGATGGTCTTACTCTACGGCATGGCACACATGAATTGACTATTTTCTTGGCCAACTTTAAACCATTAATTGGCCAAAATGTCGCTCTGACCAAAGAAAGTAATAACTGTGGGCCGCAATGCAACCCTTTGATATGCTCTGATGCAACAATCAAAGACGATAAAGGATGATCCTTAGGCAGTAAAATTTGATGTTTTGCATCGTGGGGAATTGATGCATTTTGTAGCCTTCCTCCGACACGAATTAAACCGTTTTTGACGAAAGGGCTTAAACTGATGATTGAATTACTTCTTGGCAACTTTTCATTTTTTCTCAATAAGCTATACTCATAAGAAAATCTCTCTTTTTGTGCGATTTTGCACAATCTTAATTTAGCATTATTTAACTCCTCACAAGTTAAGTGCCCAGTTCTTTTATTACTCCTCTGTAAGTTCTGCTTTAAATTTTCAATAAATCTAAGACAATACGAGGTTACACGTAATAACTTATTAAAACTTGAATATCTCAAAAATAAAAACATTGGCTCACAATTAACCGCACTCAAACAAACAATATCAACGTTTTGTGGCTCTACGAATATCCTAGGTGAAGCATTGGAAACAGTTTCAGCACTTCTAATGCATGGAGGACCAAACCACCATAAAGGGGATTCTCCCAGTTTTTTAGCATTGACTCCTCTAGTAAGAAGATCAGCAGGGTTCTCAGCTGAGGGTATGTAACCCCAGTTGTCAGTGCATAGGTATTTTCTTATCAGTTCAACTCTACGGGATATAAATCCGTCGGAACCGAGCCAACTGAAGTTCAGTCACAATGTCTGTCCACACCGAAGTGTCCTCCGAAGATAAATTATCATCCCATTGCAATTTGAGAGTCCATAATTTTTGATAGAAAAGTTTAGCTCTAATTATAATCGGTTGCAATAATCCAAGTGGGTCATAAATACTATTTATCGATGCTAATACTGCTCTTTTAGTAGAATCCTTTGGTAGTTGGAGCTTACAATTTAAAATGAAAATATCAGTTTTAGGGTTCCAAGTTACCCCTAAAACCTGGTGATCGTCTTCATGTGAGAGAATCATGAATGGTTTTGAGGTATCTAAATTTAAAGCATTTAATACATGGGGCACGTTAGATACCCACTTTCGAGGTTCAAAACCACGTGGTGCTAAAATACTGATAACTCCTTTGATGGATGTTACAGCTAATGGTATTGATTTTTTATTAGTGACGAAGTCGTCAACATAAAACTCTTTTTTGATTGTAAGCGCAGGCTCTGGATAAATATGAGCTTTTTCATGTCCAGCTTGTTGCAGGCATCTTTCAGCTTGGAAAGAAGCTGAACCAGTCCCATACGTCACAGTATTTAGCTCAAAAGTTTGTACCGGTTCATTTTCATTGAAACGCCACAGAATTCTCTGCAACCTTCTATGTTCAGGGTCTATTTTTATCTGACGATACATTTTTGTAACGTCAGCTGTTACTGCAATTGCAAATCTACGAAACCTTATCAGTAAATCAAAAATGTCATGCTGAATTTTAGGACCTACGTGAAGAATTGAATTAAGAGAAATACCATTAGAGCTAGGCGCTGATGCATC